GAATTACCTGTGAAGCACCCTGAGTTGTTTGAAAGTTTAGGGATTGCTCAACCAAAAGTACGGATTATATTAATTTCTTTTAGAGAAAAAAGTTTAGTATCATAATTCAACCTTTAATTACTTTGATTATATAAAGGGTGTCTTGCTTTATGGTCCTCCCGGTACTGGAAAGACTCTTTTGGCACGTGCCGTAGCTCATCATACGGATTGTAAGTTTATTCGCGTTTCCGGTTCAGAATTGGTACAAAAATATATTGGTGAAGGTAGTAGAATGGTCAGAGAACTGTTTGTGATGGCAAGGTACGTCTATGATTAATCCTTCATTAATTATACATTAATCGCGCATTCAACATAAGTCCCTTAAAATTATTACGCGTTTTTTAAATAGAGAACATGCACCATCCATCATTTTTATGGATGAGATTGATTCGATTGGTTCTTCACGTATAGAATCCGGCTCAGGTGGTGGTGACTCAGAAGTACAAAGAACCATGTTAGAATTATTAAACCAATTGGATGGATTTGAACCTACAAAAAATATTAAGGTGCCATATTTTAACATTATATGCATGTTATATGTGTATCGTCTTTTTTATAATATATGAATTTGTTTTGTAGGTAATCATGGCAACAAATCGTATTGATATACTCGATCCTGCACTGCTGCGGCCTGGTCGTATTGATAGGAAGATTGAATTTCCCCCACCATCTGAGGCTGTATGTATTTATTTATTTATTTCAAAAATGTATTATACTATTTATAGTTTTTGTTCATAATTTGTTTGAATAGGCCCGTGCTGATATTCTAAAGATTCATTCACGTAAAATGAATTTAACTCGTGGCATCAATTTACGCAAGATTGCAGAAAAAATGACAGGATCCAGTGGTGCAGAAGTCAAGGTAATCAATCTTTTGTATTGATCATTCTATCCTTGCTATCAATTTAACGTCTCTTTATAATGGTTTAGGCCGTTTGTACTGAAGCTGGTATGTACGCTCTTCGAGAACGTCGTGTACATGTAACCCAGGAGGATTTTGAAATGGCCGTTGCTAAGGTTATGAAGAAGGGTGAAGAACAAAATGAAAGTTTGCGCAAACTTTGGAAATAGAGGTGGAGGTAACCCCTGAAATGTACTATTTATTTATAACGCTGTATGGCATAAATTTATTTAATAAAATGATTAATTTGTTAAACCCTCTAACTACTAGAATCATGCTAAAAAAAAAACATAACATCCTATGACTGAGTTATAGTATACCAGACGGAATAAAGAATTTTTTTGAAGATGTACTTCATTATACATGTGTCCATTATCGTTCTTATATCAACACAAAATTTCAGATCATGTAAATTAAGCCATATTTCAGTATCCAAAAGAGTGCGATCATACCATATTATCTCCCCGGGGTGTAGGTTAAAATTTGGCCGAATTAAGCTTAACTCGGGCCAAAATTTTAACCTACACCCCGGGGCGTTATGTCGAGATAATACGGTATACGGAATTTTTGCTTTAAACCAAGTTCTAACTTGGTATTGGTTTTAATGAAAAAATTAAATCAAATAAGGCCTTTAAAAACACAAAGTAAAAGCACTAAAAAGCAAAATGTAATGCCTTAACTTCACTGCTCATATTTCAATGAATTTCAAAGTTATTACCAGAAGCACTTTCAAGTAATTATAATTGTTCAGAAAAACTGGGTGGATAAGACAGATTCCAAAGAATTGAAGGATCGCGATAACATGCTCTGGCTGCAATTATTAAGTTAAAAAAAAATAAATCTTGGATATTATAATTTTAACGTTAATATAATTAGATTTCATGAAAGTTCTAGACTCATTTTTTAATAATGGGTCGAATACTTTTTGATATGTTATGTCTCCGTCATACAAGTAGTCGAAATTATTTCAGCTTGAGTCGAAACTATTACGGCTCACGTCGTAATAATTTCGACTATGTATAGTCCCCGTCATTTAATGACAGATTTAAAAGACTAGTATAGCATAACAATTATTAATTTATCGATCATTATACGTATAGACTTTAAATCATATGATCTGAGGAATGTTAAAAAACACTTTCGCCGATTTGTAACAGATTATGATTAACAGGAACCCTCGATGTTGCACGACTGATTCTTCACCCGGTGTGCAACATGTTATGATTATAATCCCACACCATTTTTATTATAATAAAATGGTGTGGGATTATAATCACGTAGCAGAATGATCTGGTATTGTAAAATGATTTTTTTATATGTTGCACACCGGGTGAAGAATCAGTCGTGTAACATCGACGGTTCCTCCTGTTTATGATTAAAGTACGAATAGTTGATGTTAAATCTGGGCATAAATACAGAAATATATTTAAATCATAACCATTACTTATTTTTAATAAATTTTCCGTCACTCGAATCACTCAGATAGTAAAAAGAAAAATCGTAAATAATTCAAGATTTTACTATGCCAACTACGACTTTTAAATAAAAGGTTTCAACACGAAATTTAATGATATGAGTACATTCAAATATCGAATATCAAGTAAATAAAAGCCTGCGCTAAATTCTCGGTGATCGACATAACGATTGATTTTAAAGACTTAATAAGACTAATAATGATCACATAATAATCGAACACATGAACTTTTTTTGGTATAATCTTTGATGGACCTTTGATTGAATCCTTACCAAAGAAAAAAATAAACAGAACATGAAGAAATAGAAATCATTATGAATGTCTAAATCTATTTAAAAAATTAGTTCTTCAGTATAAATGGACGTCAAATAAAAATTACATGAAAATTCGAAATATCTAAGGACTTTGGTTTATAGTATTTAAGAAACGTTTAATCCATAATGTTCAAGAACGTCTAATATATAAAAACCAGAAGTCGCTCCCGCACTTCAACTTGTTATATCGAATTTGCAATTTACAAAGCTATGCCAACGAAATCAGCTCCAAAATCGAATATTGGCTTGATTTGATTGCGGATTTAGATTATGTATTCGATATCAGAAATCTTTTTAATAAAGTTTCAAACAATAAAAACAATAAAAGTAAATTGTGCACCAATTTTTTAGATGCTGACAAAAAAGAACTTCTACAGATCGAACAAAATTGATATTATTAGATTTATTCTTATCTGTCATATGAAACATATCCGACAAATTCTGTCAGTATTAAAACAGAAATTAATTAAATTTATAACGATAAGTAGCGAAACAACAATATTATATTTGACCGTCATAATGTTATCAACGACTATTTCATCTCATACGCCTAGTAGTTCGGCATCGATAACACCTTTCCTTTACCTGTTACATAATTTTGGTAAAATTTAATATAATACGTAATATTATGTTAGTATAACATTAGCACGTTAAAAAAATTTTATATTTTTAATAAATTAGCAATTTAAATAGACTTAGAGGGTTACTTCTAAAAAGTAAGTGATTTTTACCCACTAAAACCTCTGATGTAAATGGTTTTGTTTCTATAATCTGGTTTATAGAAAAAAAAAAACAGTTACAAAAAAAATAACTCTAATAAGATTTCTCTACAAAAAAAAAAAATTAAAACCAAACGCATACTTACACTTACTAGGGTTAAAAGGGACTCCGCCAGAAGGAAATAAAGCCAAAAGCTTACTTGACACGGGTGAGTAAGGCCAGAATATAAAAATACCTACCTATTGAACGAAACCCAAATTGAAAATCTTCCAAAACTGAAAAGTTAAATAGGCATAGCAACTAAACACAAGCATATACAGAAAGACTTGAACAAAAAAGCGTTTAAAAGAATATAAAATAAATTTGCCATATAGAATATAAACTGTGACTATCTAAAATCTGATTGGTTGTTCTACTAGAACAACCAATCAGAGTTTAAATAGTCACCAGTTTCACCAGCTTAATTTAGTTTCACCAGCAACTCTGAAAAAAAAAGCATGAAAAGAATTAAGGAGTTTATATAAAAAAAACTTTCATTAGGTGCAACTTGTTTTGCGAGTGATACAAACCAAAAAAGGAAAGATTCGAAAATAACACGTTTCTTTACATTCCCGTCATTGATATTAGCGTTACATGGCAGATTTGCACGCGCAACTTTGTCGCACGAGTTCGCTAAAACATCATTTTAGAATACATGCTTTAAAAAACTTCATTCAAAATTTTTTAATCGAATAGTTTATCTCGCGCGAGGTATGGTGAGAGACACGAGAGATCGCGGGTGCGATAGTTTTATCGCTTCACGCGAGGAACATCTCTATTCTATCCTATTTTTTCTCGCTTATTGTCCAGATCTCAGCTGATTCGCAGTTTTTATATTTCTTTTTGATTATATATCTTTTTTTTTACTTTTTTATCGTTATACGAATTTTTGACACCGATCCACATCCAATTCCTGGTTACTTCCCACTTACGTGGACAATAACATATACGTATATCACCTCATAATATGGCAGTTTACAAATAATAGATATTTCACGGGCTGTTGTAATACATGGATTAGCATGGTGAAGCCGTGGTAATACAGGACATATCGGCACACCGTTGAATATCTGATATATTTCACGGTTCTTATGCCTACAACTTTCTGATTAAAATTTTTAATGATTTAATGTCCGTGGAATAATTTTTTTGATATTTTCACGGCATTACATCATAAAAATATCATCAGAAATGTTCACAGGCGGACATTAGGGGCCGTGAAATATAAAAGTCCTAGCGTTACCGACAATCGAAGGCGCAGTCAGGTGATCTTCCGAACTATCACATGATTATCGAGACAACTTATAATAAATTTTATATATCGATTTTATATATGCAAATATACTGTATATGTAATACATATGTATACATACTACAAAGTAAAGATAATTTTGCGCAGTAAAACTAACATAAAGATATATTTCATGTTCACTAAACTGCCTGTTCATAAAACTTTCACATTAAAAAAACTATATTTGAAAGTAAAGCATTTCAGTACATATTTATAACATATTTATCCATAATACTGCGTATTTTTATTATTATCCTTCCAAGTTCGTGGCAATGTATGCCTTTTTTCGTGCTTCAAAATGTCTTCAACAAATGTCTCAAGCGGGACTAGTTTGGATTCCATGTTTTCAAGAAATCTTTGCTGGTTATGAAAAGACTTAGATTCGTTAAGGATACGTTGTGCCTAATTTAATATCATATATAAATATTAATAATTCAACAAAGTAATATAACATAAACACTACCTTGTTTAAAACTTGATACAGTCGAGAATGTTTTTGCTCAATTTCATCCATAAAATCATCATTTGTTTCATAAATCTCTTGTGTCATATTTATAGTGGAGGGTTTATTATTTCATTAATGCTACTAAAATTATTATTGATTGAATAATCGTTATCAAGTTTGTCATCAAGATTGCAAGCTAATCGAATTTCCTGCCAAGGATTGCATGACAATACTGAAATTAAAGGATATTTGGAATTGCGAAGAACCTAAATTAGTGTTAATATTTATTGAGTAAATTAGTTTTATCAGGTTTTAGTTTTGTAATTATCATTATGAATAAATAATACACACTTAATAAAAAAATGCATTTGGCTTTGAACCAGTTGGAATAACCAAATGTTTATATAAAAAAAATCTGTTTGTCGCAAAATAGGGGCACGAGCAAATCTAGTATGTATGATTCATTAAATATTTATTAAAGTCGCAAGACTGTGATACTAACAAGTTCCATTCTTTCTGAAATTCTTTTCATCATGATGTAAGTTGACACCTATGACATAATAATTTAAACGTATCGATTTGCCGTGTGATAACCTAAATAAATAAATAAATAAAAAATAGTTTATGAATTAATAAAATGCTAAATACAATATAATAAATACTTTTTTTATGATTATAAAACATAGAAGATCCAGGCGAGGACAATTAAATTTATAAAGGTGGTCTCTCTTCAAGAGCCTCCAATGTGATTCGACTACCATAGTCATACGCAAAATCCTAATTTCTTCAAATGATGATTGGGTCCAAAGAACCCATTGTTTTGGAGAATATTATTCATTCCAAATATATATCTATACTATAATTAGGTCATTTTTATGACAATATTGATATATTTCAGTGATGCATTCAACCCAAATTACTTGTTGATTATTTACAAATATTCCATCTTCTTTTGGAATTAACATGTGCTGATTAAAATACTTTCTGATAAAGTTTTTTATATGTATATGAATCTCCTTATTAGCAAGTTAAAATCCTGGTTTTGATTTATTTATATTTTCTTCATGTGAAGATAGAGCTGGTTGCCATAAAGGGTCAATAATTGTACACAATTTATGTGCCTCAACAGCATTGTATCTTATCATTTGAACTTTTGTTTTCAATGATAATTTTTGCTCTATAGCATGAATGACATGTCATAAACATAATTGCACCTTAATATTAGTTCAAGTGACTTTTGTCACATTTATTTGTGATAGGTCTTTATCAGTATAAAAAATTTGCATATTGATTAATTGCCATGCTTTTAATGCCATGAACCATTCAGTAATAATACTGGTAACATTACGATTTTTTCCTGATGTTAAAAATAAATAAGAAATAGAGAACCTCACACCATCCACAATTACTATAGCCTTATATAACTCATACTTATTTCTATTAGTGTTATAGGTTGCATCAACCATAAGCTCCATTAATTTATCTAGAGACAATATATTGAAGAAAGCAGTTACAAAGGCAAAAGCATAATCTTTAAAAAAAAGAATTTGTTACTTGTGATCTTGTAGAAAAGTTTTTGCAGAAATAAGTTCATCATCACAATGCTGATATTCTTTTTGTACAATTGACAACTATTAAAAATAAACCTGTTTAATAGTTAGAAGTTCGTATCCATTTATATATTTGTCCTTAATTGATTGATAAATGTTTGGTACACTTTGCCCAATACAGATACCTATATAACTTTTGATTTCTTCTGTTACACCAATCTTTTCTAATCATGAATGTAAAATTTTATGAGACACATTAACTGTCACTTTATCTTGTGGATAAATTTTAACTGCAATTAGGCCTTTGCATTTGTAATGTTCAATATAAGGCTCATTATTACATTGCTTTGAAATATCCTCAACCTTTTTTTAATTTTTACACAATTCTTTTTGAGCATTGCATCAATATACTAACGTCATAAATTTAGAATGTTTACTACTATATGTTTTGTTAAACACATATGTATATCCATCTCTATTGCTAATTTGATTAATTACCAAATCAGCAATATATGTGTTTTGTTCTTTTGCAATAATATCAGTTGAAATATTTTCATAAATAAAATTCAGATCAATATTGAATTTAAGTTGAAAAAGGGTTTGCCCTTCAAGATTATCATTCAAGTTTTTATATTCTAGAAGTGCATAATAAATGAAATCTGTAACATTGAAGAGGTTAATAATGTTTTCTTTTTCGACTATATAATCATTAATTTCTTGCCACTTTCACTTTTTTGCCTGTGAAGTATTAATATGACAAGTCATATATTGAGCTTGAATATCACTTTCACTCACAATAAAATCTTTAAGTAGATGTGTGCAGTTGCACCTACTACAAGTTTGTAAAGAATCTTTATTTTCCATTGTAAATAATAATATTTAATTAAAAAAAATTTTGTAATAAGTGATAAAAAAAACTATTAACAATAAACTACAATATACATAATAGGTTCATAATGAAAATTAATGTTATCGGAGATAATAACAAATCAGAAGATCCTGTGACTGCGCTCCCGATTGGCAGTAATGCTAGATTTACTGTGAAATATGAAGTATTATCACATAATTTGATAATTTATTGGTTTTTTTTCTTTAATAATTATATTACGGCTGACCCTCTATATAATCACCTCTTATACAATATAAATTTTATATTTTTTAATGTTAAGATGAGTACTTGAGCAGGAGTGAACGTCCCATCATTTGTAGATCAGTTACACATTTGATAAAAGACTTTTTTATATTGTTTTATAATACTTTTTTAGGAAGTTAATGTAACTTATCCTGTTATGAAAGGTGGATGAGTCTTCTAAGCAAACTTGAAGTATTCGAATCACACTATAACATATTTATTTAATCCTAGTTAATTCTACACCATTGTGTTGCTATGTCTTAGCAAAGTTACCTTTAAAACATATATAGTTGAAAGTGTAAAACCATCAAGTTAACTAAATTTTGCATGACAAATGAAGAAAAAAAGCAACACTGAAAAGCAATGATTCAGTAAAGGTAATGTATCTTGTATATTAGTTTATTAATTATTAATATATATGCTGCATAGAAATTTTCTAATTAATGAATAATAATACATAATAGATAACTAATTACGCATATAATTTTTTTTTGTTCAGAATATATTGAAATTGATATAGATCTATGTGTATATGTACTAATGTTAGAAATATCTTCAATATGTAATAAATTAGTAATATTATAAAGATCACATATTATATATAAGTATTATATTAGAGATAAGCTAATTGTATCAAAGATTATTAATTTTTATTACAGTATATAGTAGAAATTAACTTATTAACTATTAATATAAAATAAATTAATAAAGAACCATACTTATTTATCATAATAACATTCAGTATATATTTTAAATTTAAATAATTAATTTAATTTTATTCTTATTTTCATTTTTTTGCATTTTTTTAATATTAATATTTTTTTAAAATTACTGTTTTTGATTGGTCATCACTTCTCTGAAGTAATCTGCAGCTTGTATAACTATGAAGGTTCACTCCTGTTGAGTACTTGTGATTTAGAATTTTATTGATAGTATGTTTCAACTAATAGTTATTTGTACAACAACTACAAGAACAATCATAGAAAAAGTATACAACTAGTAACTTGTATAATTTTAATCATTGTCTAATTTAAGTAGTCTGTCTAAAGGTTTTACATTAGTTGTCATACTTAGAACCTATTTGTGCATTCTTTATTTAAATACTCTAGGTTTTATATCTATTATTTATTTATTCTATCAATTGTTCTAATCTATACTAGTACAAATATGTTATTGTTATAAAGTCTTTAAAACAGTTCATTTATATAAGAAATTTTTGACTTTGTATTAAATTCACTAAAGTTTTCTGTATCTTATACTTACAGTTGATCTAATACTGTTTTGGTTTAAACTAGCATTTGTAATTAGTATTAATTATTAAACTATTGTATTCTTGTAAAGTTTATTCAAATTCTAGTATATATCTTTTTGATGTTTTTTTTATTATTTTTAACTAATTATTATTCAAAACTAATAAACCTTTTCAGATTATTAATTCAAATATCTTAGTATAATATACTTATATATATATTCTTTTCTTTTGATAATTTTGACAACTTAATTAATATATATATTTATTATTATTTTTTTTTGTTTTTTTTAAGGTTGTTATTATTAGTAGTTATCATTTTTATTTATATTTTTAGTTAATATATTACATGTAACTTGTACAAGATAAGTATGCAACTACTTACATATATAACTTTTGGTTACCTATTTAAGTAGTTCATTCAAAGATTCTATACTAGCTGTCATATTTATAATCTGTTAAAAAATTACCTATTTAAATACTCTGATCCTTATACTGCATTCAAATAAGTAGCATCTGGTTTCTGTACATCTAAATGCTATCTAATCTAACATTTTATTTCTTCTTTTGTATATTTGTCAAGCTGTTACATATTCTAGAACACATTATTTGACTATAAAGTTCTAAGATATTCTTTTGTTAACTCTTTACTTATTCTATAAAACATTAACAAGACTAGTTCTTGTAAAGTTCATCTAAATTCTAATATCTACTTCATAATATATTCTTAGTACTTTAGTATACTTTTATTTTAATTTTAAACTTTTAATCCAAATAGTTCAGTAGGACTATAATTTGTTCTTGATATATCAAGCTAGTTTGATATATTCTAGTAGTCTGATTGGTGATATCTCTTATCTTAAGATTCTTGCCTGTTTGGTTTCTCTACATTAGTATCTGTTTTCTAGGTTTAAACTTTATAATAGTATCATTAAAGATTTATATTATCTTTTTATTTGGGTCTTTCTAAATAGGCTTTAGTTTTTTCAGATTTACAAAGTTATATAACTATAAGAATTTATTTTAGATTTGCTCTATTTGGTACCAGTTTGTATTTTTCTGTATAACTAAGATTATACAAATACCTTATAACCTGTTAGTTATGCTAATATAACTATAGTTACAGATATCTTATCTTAACTAATTGACAGAAAACCTATTACTATAATATATAAGTATTACATAGTTGATTATCCAAAATTTTTACTATCAGTAGGTTTTGAACTTACAATCTATTATTTGAAAGGTTGATAATTTATTTATTTTACTAAGTTATTATATCTTTTATATTTTTTTTATGAGATTTGCTATTTATAACTAGTAGTGATCATCACTAGTATCACAAAATATACAAATCACATAATCAATACATAAGTATAAATATAATAGACTATTAAGCATAGTATATATATAAACTTTATTTAATAATAAATATAGTAACTTTATTGCCAAAATTCAAATTTCTAATCTATACTAACTGTTATAGTTGATCATAACAATATTAGATTTTTATAGACTAGTAATTCTGTCTTATTGTTATATAAAAATTGAAGCTTCTAAACTTTTACTTAGTATTTTTGATAAATGAATCTACTATGATTTTCCTCATTAATATTAGTAAAATAACTGTCTTGAATATGTTACAGGTCAAATTAGTTTTTAGATTAAGTTAAACTTGATCTGAGTCAAACTGATCAATTAAAAAATCCTGGCTGGTATTAATTTAATTCTAGCCCACCTTAACCCTAAAATTCTGCTAGGGATCAATTTGATCTGGGTTAAGTTTAACTTGATCTTAAAACCAATTTAATCTATAACAAATATAAGTATCAGTAAATAGCTGCAAATGCTACAAAATTATTAAACAATATGTAATAAGTAATAAATGGTTTGTCTGCCAAATAAGCACAAATCTTTAGCATTGAATAAAGCTAAAATAATAGACAAACCAATACATTTAAAAATTAGCCAGAACATTTCTAAAATTGAATGATATAATATATGCTATTATAACATTATTAATGCTGTTTACTACAATAGCATATATTATATAACTTGTCATTTCAGCTGATTCTATATTCAATGAATAAAAATATTTTGTTAAACTTGCATAATTAATAACAATCTGTTAGTAATCAATAATAAGACATTTAGTAAAACATTCAATGATAAACACCAAATTTCTAAATCAAGACTCTAAACTTCTAAATCCAACTATTAGCACATAATCACAAACATCTAGTCTATTCTAATCTTATCACTAATAATTCTCTTTAGTATTCATATTAGATTTGTACTTTTGGCAACTATGAATATTATGGCCTTTATTTAAGTAATAACTACATGTTTTAAAAACAGCATTGTCTGACTTATTAATAGCTGTTGAATATTTCTCAATAGCTGATTTAAGTCATTTAAAAGGCCATCTTTTTGGTCTATAATATTCTGGATTAGACACTTCAGTAAAATTACTCAATGATTGTTGTATTACTTGAGTAACAGTAGAAGATTCTGATACATGATTGGATGTAGATTTCATAACTTCAGTAGTAAAAAACTCTTGTAATATAATGTTTGGTAATGATGAAGTATCTTTTATGCCTAGTCCTATATCATGACAATATTTCATAATAAATTGCACTAAAAGTCCAGTTAGTTCTTTAGTAACACTTTTGGATACTGCAATTTGAATGCTAGTTTTAGTCATAGACATTATAGTACCAAATTGAACCTTCTTATTAATATAACTTCTAATAGCTAGTATATAAACATCACAGATTTTTACTTAATTCATATAATGCAATGATACAGATGTAGTACTTTGTATCTCTCAAAATACTGTAACAAAATTTGTTATATTAGATAAAAATAATTCAAACCAACAGGTATGTAAAAGTGATATGTGAAAGGTTGCATAATCTGATTAAATAAGCATATAATATTGATGCCGATATAACATTCCTTGACTTATGATATTCATATAAGTACAAAGTAATATTGAGTCATTGAGTATAACAACATAATTTGGCTTTAAAGCAAAACCTATATATAAAACCTCCCAAAGTTCTTTAATTGTATTGTAAGGTATATCAATCATAAGTTCAGCTAAATGAATTTGAGGTACATCATTTAATCGTTCAATTATGTTATTATAATTAGCATCCAACTCTTTAATCTGATCAACTGAAATTAAGATCTCTTGATATAATAAAGCCTGCTTCATTTGAGCTCTTTGTAGAGACAATAGAATAAGTGCCAAATTAATATTCAATATAGAAACAATCTTCTTGAATATAGTGTTATAAGTCAACATAAGACCAATAGATAGATTAGACCTATAGTAATCCTTAATCCTGGTATACTGAGCTTCCTTCTCTAATTTTTGTTTAATAACATTAACCAATTCCTTTAGTAAGGTGCTATAGTCAACATGTTTTTTAATAATGCCAATAATAAATTCAACATATTGTATAGATTCCATACCTACTGTAAACACCTTCACTACTAAATACTTTGCCTATAAAGTACAACTATTATAAAGCTTTTCTAGATATAAATAACATGACTTATACTTTGTCAACATATTATAATACCTTGCTTCAAATTACTCTTGACTATAACTATTTTGCATATTACAAAAATTTTCAACAAAACATTTTATCACCTTAGCTTAGAGCTTGGCCCTTGCCTTTTTTTTAACATTCTTAAAAAGGTGGTAAATATATAACATATGCTGTATAATCATTCTGAGTTTCATACTTTATTAGTGCTTGAGCAATGATTCTAATTTTAAAGTTGTTATCAACACCAATGAATAAACTAAGTGCCATTTTATACTGGTTAGTTTTTGCTATATTATTATGAACTACAATATTGTGAAACCTCATCCATAGATCATGCTGTTAACTGGTTATCTAAAAAAGGCCAGTAAGTTTATTAGATAGCCCCTCAAGCCTTGGTATAACTAGATAATCTGGGTTTTTATTAAGTTGACTTAAGAGGTATGAAAGCATTGTGCCTGCATCAGATTATCATGTATTTGTATACTATGAAACTTATGAATTGCATTATACAAGTTTTTTTTTTTTATACTATACTGAAGGAACTCCTTAACAATAAGATCGTATTGCTGACCAGCACCCAAATAACCATATGTAGTACAATGCTCAATCTTATCTAAGATCTTCTGTAAAAAATCTAAGTTTTTTGGCACTAATTCTATAGTTGCCAGATCACAATTATGATTGTGCTTATTCTCAAATTTAGTAAGCTGTATACTTTTTGTATGCTTTCCAAGATAAAAACT